CCCAATTTCTCTCCCCAAATCCCCCAATATTTCCCCATTTTTCCCCATTTTTCCCCATTTTTCCCCATTTTTCCCAATTTCTCCCCAATTTTTTCCAATTTTCCCCCAAATCTCCCAATTTTTCCCCAATTTCTCTCCCCAAATCCCCCCATTTTTCCCATTTTTTCCCATTTTTCCCCATTTTTCCCCATTTTTCCCCCAATTTCTCTCCCCAAATCCCCAATTTTTCCCCATTTTTCCCCATTTTTCCCCATTTTTCCCCATTTTCCCCATTTTTCCCCATTTTCCCCCGGAATTCCCGCTTTTCCCGCAGCGATCCAGACCCTCCTGTGCCTCCTGGAGCTGCATCCCGAGAAATTCCTGGAGCTTTTCCCCCCGCTCCGTTCCCGCTGCCGGATCCGCATCCCCGGGAATTCCGCGGCGGTGCTGCGCGAAGCCGCGCGGGGGTGAGGATTCCCGGAATTCCCGGAATTCCCAAAATTCCTGGAATTCCCGGGGGGTTTGGGGGCGGGAAACGGGGAAAAATCCGGGGATTCTGGGAAAATTTGGGGAATTCTGGGAAAAATTTGGGGAATTCTGGGAAAAATTTGGGGAATTCTGGGAAAAATCGGGGGATTCTGGGAAAAATTGGGGGAAAATCCGGTGGGAATTGGGAGGAATTTGGGGAATTCTGGGGAAAATTGGGAATTCTGGGAAAAAATTGGGGAATTCTGGGAAAAATTTGGGGAATTCTGGGAAAAATTGGGGAATTCTGGGGAAAATTTGGGGAATTCTGGGGAATTCTGGGAAAAAATTGGGGAATTCTGGGAAAAAATTGGGGAATTCTGGGAAAAATTGGGGAATTCTGGGGAAAAATTGGGAATTCTGGGAAAAATTTTGGGAATTCTGGGAAAAATTGGGGAGTTCTGGGGAAAAATCGGGGGATTCTGGGGAAAATTTGGGGAATTCTGGGAAAATTTGGGGAATTCTGGGGAAATTTGGGGAATTCTGGGAAAAATCGGGGGATTCTGGGAAAAATTGGGGAATTCTGGGGAAAAATTGGGGAATTCTGGGGAAAATTGAGGAATTCTGGGAAAAATTGGGGAATTCTGAGGAAAATTGGGGAATTCCGGGGAAAAATTTGGGGAATTCTGGGAAAAATTTGGGGAATTCTGGGAAAAATTGGGGAATTCTGGGAAAAATTTGGGGAATTCTGGGAAAAATTGGGGAATTCTGGGAAAAAATGGGGAATTCTGGGAAAAATTGGGGATTCTGGGAAAAATTTGGGGAATTCTGGGAAAATTTGGGGAATTCTGGGAAAAATTGGGGAATTCTGGGAAAAATTGGGGAATTCTGGGAAAATTTGGGGGAAAATCCGGCGGGAATTGGGGGAAATTTGGGGAATTCTGGGGAATTGGGGGAAATTTGGGGAATTCTGGGAAAAATTTGGGGAATTCTGGGAAAAATTGGGGTAAAAATTGGGGAATTCTGGGAAAATTGGGGAATCCTGGGGGAAAATTGGGAATTCTGGGAAAATTTTATAGTGAAAATTGGGGAATTCTGGGAAAAATTGGGGAATTCTGGGAAAAATTGGGGAATTCTGGGAAAAATTGGGGAATTCTGGGGAAAATTGGGGAATTCTGGGAAATTTTTATGGTGAAAATTGAGGAATTTGGGGTTAAAATTGAGGAATTTGGGGTAAAAATTGGGGAATTCTGGGGAAAAATTGGGGAATTCTGGGAAAAATTGGGGAATTCTGGGAAAAATCGGGGGATTCTGGTGAAAAATTGGGGAATTCTGGGAAAAAATTGGGGAATTCTGAGGAAAATTTGGGGAATTCTGGGAAAAATTAGGGAATTGGGGGAAAATTGGGGAATTCTGGGGAAAAATTGGGGAATTCTGGGAAAAATTGGGGAATTCTGGGAAAATTTGGGGGAAAATCCGGCGGGAATTGGGGGAAATTTGGGGAATTCTGGGAAAAATTTGGGGAATTCTGGGAAAAATTGGGGAATTCTGGGGAAAAATTGGGAATTCTGGGAAAAATTTTGGGAATTCTGGGAAAAATTGGGGAGTTCTGGGGAAAAATCGGGGGATTCTGCGGAAAATTTGGGGAATTCTGGGAAAATTTGGGGAATTCTGGGGAAAATTGGGGGATTCTGGGAAAATTTGGGGGAAAATCCGGCGGGAATTGGGGGAAATTTGGGGAATTCAGGGGAAAAATTGGGGAATTCTGGGAAAAATTGGGGAATTCTGGGGAAAAATTGGGGAATTCTGGGGAAAAATTGGGGAATTCTGGGGAAATTTGGGGAATTCTGGGGAAAATTTGGGGAATTCTGGGAAAAATTGGGGAATTCTGGGAAAAATCGGGGGATTCTGGGAAAATTTGGGGAATTCTGGGAAAATTTGGGGAATTCTGGGGAAATTTGGGGAATTCTGGGAAAAATTGGGGAATTCTGGGAAAAATTTTGGGAATTCTGGGAAAAATTGGGGAGTTCTGGGGAAAAATCGGGGGATTCTGCGGAAAATTTGGGGAATTCTGGGAAAATTTGGGGAATTCTGGGGAAAATTGGGGGATTCTGGGAAAATTTGGGGGAAAATCCGGCGGGAATTGGGGGAAATTTGGGGAATTCTGGGGAAAATTGGGGAATTCTGGGGAAATTTGGGGAATTCTGGGAAATTTTTATGGTGAAAATTGAGGAATTTGGGGTTAAAATTGGGGAATTCTGGGAAATTTGGGTCAAAATTGGGGAATTCTGGGGAAAATTGGAGTAAAAATTGGGGAATTCTGGGAAATTTTTATGGGGAAAATTGGGGGATTCTGGGAAAAATTGGGAATTCTGGGGAAAATTGGGGAATTCTGGGAAAAATTGGGGAATTCTGGGAAAAATTGGGGAATTCTGGGAAAAATCGGGGGATTCTGGTGAAAAATTGGGGAATTCTGGGAAAAAATTGGGGAATTCTGAGGAAAATTTGGGGAATTCTGGGAAAAATTGGGGAATTCTGGGGGAAAATTGGGGAATTCTGGGGAAAAATTGGGGAATTCTGGGAAATTTGGGTCAAAATTGGGGAATTCTGGGGAAAATTGGAGTAAAAATTGGGGAATTCTGGGAAAAATTTGGGGAATTCTGGGGAAAAATTGGGGAATTCTGGGGAAAAATTGGGGAATTCTGGGAAATTTTTAAGGTGAAAATTGAGGAATTTGGGGTTAAAATTGAGGAATTCTGGGAAAAATTTGGGTTAAAATTGAGGAATTAGGGGTAAAAATTGAGGAATTCTGGGAGAATTTGGGGTTAAAATTGGGGAATTTGGGAAAATTTGGGGGAAAATTGGGGAATTCTGAGAAAATTTGGAAAAACTTGAGGAATTTGGGGTAAAAATTTTGGAATTCTGGGAGAATTTGGTTTTAAAAATAAGGAATTTGGGGAAAATTGAAGAATTCTGGGGAAATTGGGGTAAAAAATGAGGAATTCTGGGAAAAATGAGGAATTCTGGGAAAATTGGGGGGAAAAATTGGGGAATTCTTGGAAAATTTGGGGTAAAAATTGGGGAATTCTGGGAAAATTTGGGGTAAAAATTGGGGAATTCTGGGAAAATTTGGGAATTCTGGGAAAATTTGGGGTAAAAATTGGGGAATTCTGGGAAAATTTGGGGTAAAAATTGGGGAATTCTGGGAAAATTTGGGAATTCTGGGAAAATTTGGGCTTAAAATTGGGGAATTCTGGGAAAAATTGGGGTAAAAATTGGGGATTTGGAGAAAAAAATGGGAAATCCACGGGGAAAAATTGGGAATTGTGGAAAACTGGGGAATTCTGGAAGATTTGGGGAGAAAAAAGTGGGAATTTTGGAAAATTTGGGGTAGAAATTGTGGGAAAAATCGGGGAATTGGGGAGAAATTTGGGGAAAAATGGGAAAATCCTGGAGGTTTTGATGGAATTTTGGGATTTTCCCCATCCAGGTGCCCCCCCTTGGGATTTCTCCTGGCTCAGGATCCCTCTGGAAGTTTGGGAATTTCGGGATTCCTGGAATTTGACGCCGTGGCCCTGAGCGATTCCATGGGTTGGGAATTTCGGAGGCTCCGCCAGAGCCTCAGGAGGATCCCCTGGGAATCCCGGAAAGGTGAGGCCGGGAATTGCGGGAATTCTGAGGGGAAAATCTGGGAATTCTGTGGGGAAAATCTGGGAATTCTGAGGGGAAAATCTGGGAATTCTGGGGGGAAAATTCCAGAATTCTGTGGGGAAAATCTGGGAATTCTGAGGGGAAAATCTGGGAATTCTGGGGGGAAAATCTGGGAATTCTGGGGGAAAAATTCTGGGAACTCTGAGGGGAAAATCTGGGAATTCTGAGGGGAAAATTCCAGAATTTTGTGGGGAAAATTCCAGAATTCTGTGGGGAAAATTCTGTGGGGAAATTCTGGGAATTCTGTGGGGAAAATTCCAGAATTCTGGGGAAAAAAATGAGTATTCTGTGGGGAAATTTGTGGGAATTCTGTTGGGAAAATTCTGGGAATTCTGTGGGGAAAATTCCAGAATTCTGTGGGGGAAAAATGGAAATTCTGGGGGGAGAAAAAAATGGGAATTCTGGGGAAAAAAATGGGAATTCTGTGGGGAAAATTCCGGGAATTCTGTGGGGAAAATTGTGGGAATTCTGTGGGGAAAATTGTGGGAATTCTGTGGGGAAAATTCCGGGAATTCTGAGGGGAAAATCTGGGAATTCTGTGGGGAAAATTCCAGGAATTCTGTGGGAAAATTCTGGGAATTCTGTGGGGAAAATTCCGAGAATTCTGTGGGGAAAATTCTGGGAATTCTGTGGGGAAAATTCCAGAATTTTGTGGGGAAAATTCCAGGAATTCTGGGGGGAAAATTTGGGAATTCTGGGGGGAAAATTCTGGGAATTCTGTGGGGAAAATCTGGGAATTCTGAGGGGAAAATCTGGGAATTCTGTGGGAAAAATTTGAGAAATTCTGGGGGAAAAATTCTGGGAAATCTGTGGGAAAAATTCTGGGGAAAATTCTGGGAAAAATTCTGGGAATTCTGTGGGGAAAATTCCAGGAATTCTGTGGGGAAAAATTCTGGGAATTCTGTGGGGAAAATTCCAGAATTCTGTGGGGAAAAAATGGGAATTCTGGGGGGAGAAAAAAATGGGAATTCTGGGGAAAAAAATGGGAATTCTGGGGGGAAAATTCCAGAATTCTGGGGGGAAAATTTGCAGGAATTCTGTGGGAAAAATTCCAGGAATTCTGTGGGAAAAATTCCAGGAATTCTGTGGGAAAAATTCCAGGAATTCTGTGGGAAAATTCTGGGAATTCTGTGGGAAAAAATTGCGGGAATTCTGTGGGGAAAATTCCAGGAATTTTGTGGGGAAAGTTCTGGGAACTCTGGAGGAAAAATTCTGGGAATTCTGTGGGAAAAATTCCAGAATTCTGTGGGAAAAATTTCAGGAATTCTGGGGGGAAAATTCCAGGAATTCTGTGGGAAAATTCTGGGAATTCTGGGGGAGAATTCTGGGAATTCTGTGGGGAAAATTCCAGAATTCTTTGGGGAAAATTCTGGGAATTCTGTGGGGAAAATCTGGGAATTCTTTGGGGAAAATTCTGGGAATTCTGTGGGGAAAATTTCCAGAATTCTGTGGGGAAAAAATGGGAATTCTGGGGGGAGAAAAAAATGGGAATTCTGGGAAAAAAAATGGGAATTCTGGGGGAAAAATTCCAGAATTCTGTGGGGAAAATTTGCAGGAATTCTGTGGGGAAAATCTGGGAATTCTGTGGGGAAAATTCTGGGAATTCTGGGGAAAATTCCGGGAATTCTGTGGTAAAAATTCCGGGAATTCTGTGGGGAAAATTCCAGGAATTCTGAGGGGAAATTCTGGGAATTTTGTGGGGAAATTCTGGGAATTCTGGGGGGAAAATCTGGGAATTTTGGGGGGAAAATTCCAGAATTCTGTGGGGAAAATCTGGGAATTCTGAGGGGAAAATTCTGGGAATTCTGTGGGAAAAATTTGAGGAATTCTGGGGGAAAAATTCTGGGAATTCTGTGGGGAAAATTTGGACATTCTGTGGGGAAAATTTTGGGAATTCTGGGGGAAAAATTCCAGGAATTCTGGGGGGAAAATTTCAGAATTCTGGGGGGAAAATCTGGGAATTATCTGGGGGAAAATTCGGGGAATTCTGTGAGGAAAATTCCAGGAATTCTGTGGGGAAAATCTGGGAATTCTGAGGGGAAAATTCTGGGAATTCTGTGGGAAAAATTTGAGGAATTCTGGGGGAAAAATTCTGGGAAATCTGTGGGAAAAATTCTGGGGAAAATTCTGGGAAAAATTCTGGGAATTCTGTGGGGAAAATCTGGGAATTCTGGGAATTCTGTGGGGAAATTCTGGGAATTCTGTGGGGAAGAAATGGGAATTCTGGGGGGAAAATTCCAGAATTCTGTGGGGAAAATTTGCAGGAATTCTGAGGGGAAAATCTGGGAATTCTGGGGGGAAAATCTGGGAATTCTGGGGGGAAAATCTGGGAATTCTGGGGGGAAAATTCTGGGAATTCTGTGGGAAAAATTCTGGGAATTCTGTGGGAAAATTCCAGAATTCTGTGGGGGAAAGTTCTGGGAATTCTGTGGGGAAAATTTGGGAATTCTGTGGGAAAATTCTGGGAATTCTGGGGAAAAATCCCCGAAATTCCCCAAGGGAAATTCCAAGCAATCCAATTGCAAATCCCAGCAGGGAAAAGCTGCGGGATCCAGGTGGAATTCCAGGAATTTTCCTTTTTTTTCCGCGCCTACGGAGACCTGGATGGGCGGGAATTGGATTCTCTCTGTCAATTCCTCAATTCCCGAGCGCTCGAGCGGGAAAAGTCGGAGCTGAGGAGGCTCCGGAGCTGCTTCAGAGCATTCCAGAGGTGAGGAATTCCTGGAATTCTGTGGGGAATCTATCCTCAAAATTCCAGGGAAAATCGCCTCAAAATTCCATGGAAATATCCTCAAAATTCCATGAAAATTCCATTAAAATCCCCCCAAAATTCCATGAAAATATCCTCAAAATTCCATTAAAATTCCATTAAAATTCCCCCAAAATTCCATTAAAATCTCCCCAAAATTCCATGAAAATCTCAAAAAATTCCATGAAAATCTCCCCAAAATTCCATTAAAATCCCCCCAAAATTCCATGAAAATCCTCCCAAAATTCCATGAAAATCCCCTCAAAATTCCATAAAAATCCCTTCAAAATTCCATTAAAATCTCCGCAAAATTCCATGAAAATCCTCCCAAAATTCCATGAAAAATACCACAAAATTCCCAGAAAATCCCCCCAAAATTCCATTAAAATTCCATTAAAATTCCCCCAAAATTCCCTTAAAATCTCCCCAAAATTCCATGAAAAATCCTCCCAAAATTCCATGAAAATCTCTCCAAAAATCCTTAAAAAATCCCCCAAAATTCCATGAAAATCTCCAAAAATTCCATGAAAAATTCCCCCAAAATTCCATGAAAATCTCAAAAAATTCCATGAAAATTCCCCCAAAATTCCATTAAAATTCCCCCAAAATTCCATTAAAATCTCACCAAAATCCATGGAAAATCCACCACAAAATTCCCAGAAAATCCTCCCAAAATTCCATGAAAATCTTCCCAAAATCCATGGAAAATCCCCCCAAAATTCCATTAAAATTCCATTAAAATCTCCCCAAAATTCCATGAAAATCTCCCCACAAAATTCCTTTAAAATCTCCAAAAATTCCGTTAAAATTCCCCCAAAATTCCATTAAAATCTCCCCAAAATTCCATGGAAAATCTCCTCAAAATTCCATGAAAATTCCCCCAAAAATCCATGAAAATCTCCAAAAATTCCATTAAAATTCCCCCAAAATTCCATGGAAAATGTCCCCAAAAATCCCTTTGCAAAATCCCAAAAATTCCCAGAAAATCCACCCAAAATTCCATGAAAATTCCATTAAAATCCCCCCAAAATTCCATGGAAATCTCCTCAAAATTCCATGGAAAATCCCCCCAAAATTCCATGGAAATTCCCCCAAAATTCCATTAAAATCTCCCCAAAATTCCATTAAAATCTCCCCAAAATTCCATGAAAATCTCCTCAAAATTCCATTAAAATTCCATTGAAATCCCCCCAAAATTCCTTAAAAATCTCCCCAAAATTCCATGGAAAATCCCCCCAAAATTCCCAGAAAATCATCCCAAAATTCCATTAAAATCTCCCAAAAATTCCATTAAAATTCCATTAAAATTCCCCCAAAATTCCATTAAAATCTCCTCAAAATTCCATTAAAATCTCAAAAAATTCCATTAAAATTCCATTAAAATTCCCCCAAAATTCCATTAAAATCCCCCCAAAATTCCATGGAAATATCCTCAAAATTCCATGGAAATATCCTCAAAATTCCATGAAAATTCCCCCAAAATTCCCAGAGAATTCCCTCAAAATTCCATTAAAATCCTCCCAAAATTCCATGGAAATTCCCCCAAAATTCCATTAAAATCTTCCCAAAATTCCAAAATTCCATTAAAATCCTCCCAAAATTCCATGGAAATTCCCCCAAAATTCCATTAAAATCTTCCCAAAATTCCGTGAAAATCTCCCCAAAATTCCATGAAAATTCCCCAAAAATTCCCAGAAAATCCCCCCAAAATTCCATTAAAATCTCCCAAAATTCCATGAAAAATTCCCCAAAAATTCCATGAAAATCTCCCCAAAATTCCATTAAAATTCCCCTCAAAATTCCATTAAAGTTCCCCCAAAATTCCATTAAAATCTCCCCAAAATTCCATGGAAAATCTCCTCAAAATTCCATGAAAATTCCCCCAAAATTCCATGAAAAATTCCCAAAATTCCATGAAAATCTCCCCAAAAATTCCATTAAAATTCCCCCAAAATTCCATGAAAATCTCACCAAAATCCATGGAAAATCCACCACAAAATTCCCAGAAAATCCTCCCAAAATTCCATTAAAATCTCCCCAAAATTCCATGAAAATCTCCTCAAAATTCCATGGAAAATTCCCCCAAAATCCATGGAAAATCCCCCCAAAATTCCATTAAAATTCCATTAAAATCTCCCCAAAATTCCATGAAAATCTCCCCACAAAATTCCTTTAAAATCTCCAAAAATTCCGTTAAAATTCCCCCAAAATTCCATTAAAATCTCCCCAAAATTCCATGGAAAATCTCCTCAAAATTCCATGAAAATTCCCCCAAAAATCCATGAAAATCTCCAAAAATTCCATTAAAATTCCCCCAAAATTCCATGGAAAATGTCCCCAAAAATCCCTTTGCAAAATCCCAAAAATTCCCAGAAAATCCACCCAAAATTCCATGAAAATTCCATTAAAATTCCCCCAAAATTCCATTAAAATCTCCCCAAAATTCCATGAAAAATCCTCCCAAAATTCCATGAAAATCTCTCCAAAAATCCTTAAAAAATCCCCCAAAATTCCATGAAAATCTCCAAAAATTCCATGAAAACTCCCCCAAAATTCCATTAAAATCTCCCAAAATTCCATGA